ATGTCAGAACCAGTATTGCAATAACGAATGTTTACAGTGAAGAAAGTGGAAAACTAGCACCAGTACCAATGGCAAGATATTTCAAACTTTTAACATTCTTAAATTGCTATCATTTAATTAACGATAATGACAAGATCTAAAAATTAATAATTAAATTAATGTTAATGAAGTGATTTCATTAATTTTATTGTTTTATTGCTAAAATTTCTCATCTTATTAAAATTAAAAACAAAACAAAAAAAAAGAAAGAATGCAGTGAATTGGAATCCTTCAATTCAATAACACGTTTGAATGCTTTATCATTTGTCTTTTTGAAATTCTCTATCAACTCCATTAAAAACTCTATCAAAGGCTTATCTTCTCCTTTTAAAAAGCCATCAGTGATCCAATCGATGCTTAGCTTTTTACAATAAATAACAAGTTTAGCTGTAGGAGATCAACATTTTTTTTTTTATTCATGACAATGATTAAAATAGAAGCGTCCCTTAATTTACAACCATTGAATTATCAACTTGATGTGCTAGGACCTTCCGATAAGAATGAATTATGATGAGACGGTATGGGATGTATGTATTCGCAAAATATTAAAACTAAATTTACCAAGAGAACGGGGATATAAATACAAAGATGACCAGCTGTCAATTGGCACAATCAACAGTAAAATAATTGGGAAGGGAATATCAGAATAAAGTTTATACAGTTATGCTATTATTGAATGGTATTTTTCATTGTATAATAGAAAAATTAATAAATTTAAAGGAAATTATTCGAGAGAAAAAGCGAATTGGTCTATTTTTAAAATCAAATTTGTCAGTTATCAAAAATTTTCCTCCTTTTTTCCCTTTCTCTCCCTTCTATTTCTCTTGTTAGTATTGTTATTTTAAAAGTATTCATCAATGTTGTGAAGATGTTGAAGCCAATTAGGAATGATGAAAGAGAATATTCAATCCTCTTTACCTTATTCTTCTGTCATTCGATGATGATTAATAAAGAACGAAAGAAAACCTGAAATTTGTACGGAACATTCTAATTAACTTAATTTATATCTGTTGCCAAAGTAAACTCTGCCGAAAGAATAACACCTTTTCTTTTTCAATTGATTTCTCTAGCTGCTTTCATAAACTTAATAATTTCTCCTTTTCTCTTTTCTTCTTCCAATCTCTTACTATATTATCATTAATCAACTTATCGCCTTATCATAATAATCTAATCATTTGTTTTTATTATTATACTTGAAGTACAAAACTTCTCTGAACAATTACTTCCCGCTATTTTATCTTCTCAAAAAAAGAAATGTTCCCATACCGATAAATTGTAGTCTCGAAATTATTTGGAATTGATATTAATCCAATAAAAGTACTGCAAACGAAACTCCGGAACTTAACTTTCTGTTTATTTAATCGTAGAAAGAAAAAAAAAGAAAAGTATCTATGAAACTTATCGTTTTTTTTTGAAAAAAAAAGCAATCCTTAAAATTCATTTTTCAATTAGTGAAAGAGAAAATGATTGAAATGAAATAAACGGAGCAGTTCAAATTTCATTTCATTTCTTTCTCAATGTCAAACTTTCCTGCTATTTCGATACTATCACTCATTGATCAATCATTTATTTGTGACATCGGCATTCTTGATTATTTGAATGTTATATATGAAAGAAATTATAAAGAGTGAGCATAATGATATGCAACAGCAGACGACAGCTTTTAATTAATGAACTGGTTCAATCGACTAAAAAAATTATTTCATTAAGTAAATTTCAATTATTTTATTGCTGCAAACTAAGGTTGACATTTGATAACAAAAAGAAAAAGGAAACTTGCTTCTTCCTTTTGGATGTAAAAAAAAAAGAATTCATTGCTTGCATATATTAAAATTGCCAATCATTAATTTATCACCTAATGAAGCATTTAATTATCACGAAATATATTTACTGTAATATAACAGCAAAGCAGATCTTTTGTTAAAATACATTCAAATGATAACAAGTTTTCGTACTCTAACAATAAGGAGCGAACAAACGATTGTATTTAATTAATTATACAATTTCGTTGGAAAGGATCTTGCTTTTGGCAAAATCATTTTTTGTTCGAAAGATGGATAAAAAAGAATTTTGAAGTGATAATTATGGCATTTGTTGTTTTATCAATAGCAGTATGAATAATGAATAATTTGCAGCAAATTTTGTTTTGACATTATTGAAGGATTTTGAAGGAACGATTAATTATTAAATTTGGAATTCGATTATCTAAATCATTCATACAGATTGAATGCAAAAAGCATTATAATGATAATAGTGGTAATTTTTGATAAATTCAAATATTATATAGTTTCTGTCTATTAATTAGAGGTATGGTACATATTGGTAATTGTTAACGAATAGCAGAGAAGAATGATAGTTGTAAATGACTGATATCTCTGTCTTGATATCTACAATAGAGAAACTCAACATATTTCTCTGCTTGGCATTTCGACTAACTGATTTAGTCTAGTTAAACGAATATCTCTGAATAGCATAATTAACGAATAATAGTTTCTAAATTAATTGAGTTTCAAATATAATACTATTTACATATCTAATATGAAGTATAATAAATCCTGATAGAATTATGGAAACAACTGCCTTAGTAACAAGTTAGCAATTGTCCGCCCTATTAATTAGAGTAAGGACAATGGAAGATTTAGATGAACTTGTGTGAGAAGAAAAAACAGTCATCATAAAATCATGTCACATCGCATACGACACTAAGAGTCGTGTCACCACAAAAGATTCAGATTCCTTATCATTATCATCGATATTGACACGTCAACAATTGCACCGCACATATTTCTTTCTAAATTGAAACATCCGCGAGTGTTTATAATTAAGCAAGTAATAGTAGTAGTATGTGCACGTTATTAAGCAAATTAACGACCAGAATGAAAAAATTCCAAAAGTTAGGATATTTGCTTTGATCAAAATAGTTTTGAAATTCGTTTAATTAATTAATTAGTTGGAATTTGATTTTCGTTTGCCTCTCGAATCATTCCCAGCAAACATGTAATATAATGACCAAAACATGGAACTTACTGAGCAGACAGACAGATGATGAAAAAAAGTACCACAAATGATAGCTTTATACCACTTTACCACGCCCCATAATAGATCCTTTCACTTTATTTAAAATATATAAAACAGATGAGTTGACAGTTTCTCATTGGTAAATGTTGGGGATGAACTGATAAGGGGTTAAATGACAAGAAATGAAATGATAAGGGATGAAATGATAGAGCATGAAGTAGTGACTTTAGTTTTGTGAATTTACAAATTGATCTTTCACTTCGTATTCCTTTTTATCTTTTTGTCATCTAATATTCAAACTTTCATACAATCATTTTTCTCTCACATAATAGTTATTTCTTTCACATAAATTATTCTTATCAATTGCAAAAATCATCTTCCAGGAAACTCCGTTGTCACAAATTAAATTAATGATCAGAAATAGATGAAATATAAATGTTAGCATTGAATTTTGCTTAAATCACATTATGATGTTAGCAAATATTTTCTATTTAAATCCAATAAATTTCTCTCTTAATTGACAAAAAATTGAACATATTTTTATAACAAATAATTCTTTCTTTCTATTTCCTTATAATTGTCAATCGATTTTTGGTCCTTTTTGAATTACTAAAAAGTGATTTTTACACACTTTTTTTTATCATTTCCCAAATTCATTATGTCTATTATCCAATTGTATGAAATGAAATAATACCACTGCCTTTTACTTTATTTGCGTTTCGTGAAATTCTGAATAATGGTTAAGTGAATGATGAAATGAAAATTTATAATTTATATTTGATTTTGATGGAGAAGAAAAGATTTGTTAGCAAGTCATTTATCATTTCAAATATAATTAAA